TTGGACAACAAGCTAAGCTCCTCGATAGGCAACAATGTGCAAGGGTGAGACACTAGTGGACATCTATTTTCGCACACATTTTTTTTCCTCTTTATGGGAGCAACTCTCGTGTTCAAAATACTTGGTCTTGTATACATTTGGGTAATGATTTCATTATTTTGTTTACAAGAAGGCAGATAAATATTTCAAGTACAAAATACAATCCTTCACTTATAATTTTATGATTGCAGCACGTTTAAAAAAAGCTGGGACTTTGCAAAAAAAAAAAAGGAAAAAAAGGTACATACAGGTTTTGGAGAAACATATGCTGCCATTCCTCTTTTTCATCGACGCCCTGACTTATTTCAGCGAGGCAATGCCAAACCACTTTCTGCATGTGTTGCAACAGTGCGGCTTCGTAGTGAAAAAGTACAAGGCTGGCCTGACTGCAGTCCAGACCTGTCTGCCGTTGAAAACGTGTGCTGCGTTAAAAACCGTGAAACACGGCAGCCGAGACCCCGTGGCTCAAAGAAAGGGCGATGTAATACAGTGACAAACATGACCCTGTCCCAGCTTTTTTTTTTTTTTTTTTTTTTTTTTAATGTGTTGCAGCCATAAAATTATTGTTTTAAAAAGTGAATGATTTGCTAAAAACAATCAAGTTTGTCTATTTGGTGATTAAATATCTTGTCTTTGTAGTGTCTACACATAAATCTAGGTTGAACACGATTTGCAAAGGACCGTATTCTGTTTTTATTGATGTTTAACACAACATCCCAACTTCATTGGAATTGGGTTTGTATTAGTGAAAACAAAAGATGGACATGTCGGAATTTCGAATGGCGGGAATGTAATAACGCAGGCTTGTCGTGATAGGAATTTATTTGGTCCAGTACTTGGCTCATCTCCAGCCCAGAATGCCCCTGTTCTACCCAGCATGCAGCCCGGCTTTGGAGGTAACCGCTTTCATAGTGATGCTTTTTGGTGTGCGAATAATTGTTTCAGTCTCGTAATATGTGACCCAGTCTGGCTAAAAGAGTCTGCAGGTTGCAAGGGTTAGTTACGAGAAGAATATATATATATATATATATATATATCTCTCTCTCTCTCAATCTTCAGTTTCAAATCGATCTTCAGATTTAGCATTTAGTCAGAGCCGCTCACACATGTTGTTTCAAGATTGGCTTTTTTAAGACGGAGCCTTCCATTTAGGTGTTCCTTCCACAAATCCCTTCGTTGCTGCGGCTGTTGCCTCAGAGATGGCCACCAACCCTTTCCAGGCCAATGGCAGAGCTCCAGCTTCAGGTGTGTGCATGTTTTTTTTATTTTTTTTATTTTTTTTTAAACCACACATCACATTTTTTCCTTGGGTTGTGATGCTTAGTTGGGGTTCGGTCAGGCCAAGTATGTAACACATACGGCCCATTTCTGTATGTGTGTGTATATATATTTCAAATCAATTTCACCCATGTAAAATTGGTCAATTAAATTGCTTTTTTTTTTTTTTCATAAAATAATGATGATCACATGTATTCATGGTAAATTGTAAAATGAAAAATCTCTCAACACATTCTTAAAATGCTCATTAAAATGTCCCGATTAAACTACAGTATGTCATTGACAGACGCACTTCAACTTTTTCTTTTTGTTTTTTTTAAATCCCTCATTTAAGAGTGACCTGGCCCATCTGTCCATTTTCAAAATTCAACCGTGGCCCTCGAGCGCAAAAGTTTGCCCATCCCTCAGTTGATGTTCAAGCAAGCTTCGATAATTGCCCGTGTTCTCAGAACTGTTTCCTCCCTGTGGTGTGTCTTTGTTGCGTATGTGTGTTGTAGCCGCCTCATTTGGTACTGGCTCTATGAGCATGCCGGCTGGCTTTGGGAATTCGTCTTCATACTGCCTCCCGACCAGTTTCAGCGGAAACTTCCAGCAGCAATTCCCTGGCCAGGCCCCCATCCCTTACTCTCAGCCGGGGGCCTACCACCCTCAGTCCAATGGTTAGTGGCCTCCCGCATCCCCGTGTCCTTTTGTATACCCGCTTTTTCTACCCACGCAGTACCTGCCGGTGATTTCCGCTGCACGCCTTTCTCAGGCACCTTATGATTTTTTTTTTCTTTCTGAGCATGATGGCTATTTGCCTTGCAAATTGTCGCTTCTGCATGCAGGGAACGAAAAGTCACGGCTCGTCACGGGCAGCTGCTGTGCTGTGATTTGAAGTTGCAGATCGGTTGTCAGTTCACTGAGGGATTATTATTGATATCAAGGGTTCTTTTTAAACTTTTTAAGCCAAGTGGGCCCCAAAATATTCATGACCTGGTGTACCATAAAGAAATCAGCCAAATTCAATGTTATTCAATATTTTTAAGATGCAACAGTGTGTTTCAGTAAAGATGAGAAAGATGGAGCAGGTACAGCACAAGAGTCGGACCCGCTTTAAGTTCCTTTTTTCTTAGTTTGTATTAAATACAGTAGTTATTGTCTTTAAAATAAAATAAATAATAATTAAGGGCTATCAGATTTATTGTTTTTTTTTTTTTTGATGCGCTAGTCCCCAAATGTGCTGTCGATAATGCGCGTTTTTAAAATGATTCAACATTAATGGATGACAGGGTATTTTGTGGAGCTCCAATACACGCCTTACGGACCCCCGGTGATCTGGGGAACCCTGCTTGAGAACCCCTATGTACTGTAATTGTCTACCAAAGGCCCAATGAACAAACTTGGCATTTCATTTAAAGGGCAAGTCAAGTCAAATGTTTTCTTGTTAACAATAAGTTCTATGTGGCCCTTCTAGACTGAACAAAGCCTTTGATTGGTCGTTATGTCAGCCCATGGCGCTGTGATGTAATTTGCAGTCAACAGCAAAGTGGCCGCCCCGTGAGATGGATTAAAAAAAAAAAAAAAGAAACGGCTGCATTTTGCTGCTTAATCCACATTATTCATCATAGTATTGTAGTAGGGCCACAAAACATATTGCCAACAACATTTTGAACTTGACTTCCCTTTAAATCTCCAGTCCACTCCCGAATACAATTTGCCATGTTGGGGTTTGTTCCACTCTCACTTCTTCCGTACTGTTTTACTCACTCCTTATCGAACAATTATTTGTGAAGTGTTCTAAAGTTGAAGGATTGTGTTTGTCTTTCTCCCCGAGGCCCTGCATTCCCAGTCTACGGTCCAACCAAGCCCTCCGTGACGCCGTTCGGTCAGCCCATGGCTGGTCCTGGCGCGTCCAGTAACCCCTTCATGGTGAGCGTGCAGTCTCAAGTTACCGTTGTGCCCCTTGTGACAGAAATTGGACCTGTCATTCTCATATCACCTCCGCAAATACTTTTTTTGTCACTTCTACCTCAGTCCATTTTTGGGGTATTTGTCTGAGTAAGCATTTTACTTTTCCTCACTTTATTTGACATGTGTCTGCACGCTCTGCTCACGACTTGGCCAAAATAGCCTCGTCACTTATTTCAGCTTCCGCAAAAGACGACGAAATCGAGGTTGCGTCAAGTGCGGTTGAGATCTTGAGAAGCAAACTATTCTCCATCCGTGGCCTAATTTAACACCGTTTCAATCTTCCAATCCAAGAATGAATGGTTGCAAATGTCCTCTTGTGTTAGACTAAAAATCTGTATCGTGTATTTCTTTTAGGTAAGCTTTTTTTATGCGTTCTATCAAGTACCAAGTACAACTTTATTGTCAAATGTGCTGTATGTGAAACATACAGCACAGATGAAATTTGCGCTTACTTGATGTAATACAATGAACGAAAAGTAATTTAGAGCAGGTTTTTTATTTTTTACTTTTTATGTTTATTAAACCAGGAGAGCAGTAAAACACCTGTGAACCCTTTTGTCATTGCAGGCGGGAGCCCCCACCGGGCCATCCAGCTCAACCAACCCGTTCCTGTAGCACAACTCCCAGTCCTCACCACTAGAGGGCAGCATGCAGCACATTAGTCGACACACCGTTCCGTCACGCTATTTTAGTGGCACTACATTTCTTTCCACACAAAAAGAAAACGTTTACACTATGAAGGAGAACAAAGGACTTTATTGCAGACAAAGGGACTGTTAGCTTGAAAATGTTTGGACTATATACAGTACATTATTTTCTATTCTTGTTATTTGTTTATGCCTGTACGCTGTGTGCATATCATCATTTGTAATCATATTGACGTCTGATGTATAACGAGGACCGTGTTGGCAGAGGTGAGTAGTCACACCTTGTGTAAAAACCACTACACACTATTTTCAGGGGAGGGTTTACAATGTATCATCCGTCACCTGGGTTTGACCCAACCGTAGACATGCAAGTACAGTATTTCATTTCAAAAAGGGATTTGTTTTTATTATTCTAGCATGAATGCTACTAAACTGGCACTTAGGCCCAAATTGTCCATCAATAGCCTTCGCAACCAGAGATACACTTGCCTATAAACAAAAGAAGCTTGCATAAACTCTGTAAATCCACGCAGGTTGGTTGGCCTGCTGTGTTGCTGATAGCAAAAAAAAAAAAAAATGTGCAGCCAAAGGTCTTTAGTTGGAAATCAAAGGTAGATCTTTTGTGTAATCTAACCTTGGCAAGTGGACATGAGCACAAATGCAGTAAAGCATCTCGAACATTCGGAGCAAGCGTGCAAAATGTTCCAATTCACCGCTCATCGTTGGAGCATTTCCGATGAGCAGGTCTCCACAATGTTTACGATGTGTGAACCACGTTCATGCGAGCTTCCTCAGTGTGGGTCCCACTGCATTCAGCTCTGAGTTTGCGCTCAATTTAGGCCTTGCTTTCTTCTTGGTTTACTTGGACTCCAGACATGTCTTAGGGTCGCAATTGTGCCGCGCGTGACTAACAAATAAATTTCCTGTTTTTCTTGTCTTTACAAGAATAGCTCAGTCATTGTGTACATATATAAATATATGTATAAATAAATTAAAAGATTTTTAAATACTGCATATCCGGATGGTTATTTCAGCGAGAATCAACGGTACAGGGAGTTGTCAAGATGCATATCGTACATGTGGGGGGGGGTAATGAGCCAATAAAAGAAACAAATGAGTCCGCACAGAGTGAATAGTCACGTGGTGTGAGTAATACGTACAGAGTGCACTGTGCGTTGCGTGCCAGAAGTCATTGAGCGCGGTTACTATGGAAACGGAGAAAAAAAACTGTCATGGCGTCCCTGTTGACAGATCCGCTGTTTGAAATCTCAGGACGGGGTCCCTCAACAAATAAAAACTACTATAATTGTGTCGTTACTAAGGACGACGTAAGTATACGCACTTAAATGGCCATTGTCGAAAGTTTTCAGGCTTTTGACATCCTTTTCGGTCAGCGAGCGCCGAGTGCAATTTGCCACTTAGCCGTTACCGGTAGCCATGCTCGCTGACCAGCTCCCGTTCGCGTATCTATAAAATTGATAATGATTGTATTCTTTAAATTAACCCCTCGGAGCGGGACAGTATTAATTTGATATTTTTCTGAACTCGACAAAATCATTTAGTCTGGCAATTTACATAAAATGCATCCATAGTAATCGAGAGAATCAATGCCACAAAAACTTTATACAGTACTGAAATAATGATGACCTCCTCTCAATTTACTACCAAATGTACCTGTGTGAAATCTGGCATCGGTTGGGAATCACTGCCATCCGTGTGTGGTGTCCATTGATTGTACAATCCTTGTAATACACACAGGTAATTTGGAGATGGTGGATGATATCTCCCCGAGCTGTATACAGGCTTTCAAAGCCCGGTCAATTGATCATGTCACATGAGGACTTCCTGGATGACAACAAACTACAAAGTAAGGACTTTGTGCAATATAAGGAATTAACCATTTGTATTGAGTTAATTGCCCTCATATGGAACTCTTCGACAGAAATCGTTAGATTCAAGATCCGCCTCTATAAGCATAAGCGGTGTAACAGTAATGTATCAGGGAATACGTACTATTATAAGAATAGCGTACGTAATTTATAGCACGTGTAGACATAATCTAAGTGCCTTTAATGTTCACCTAATTTGTTTTGATAAAAATATCTTCTCCATTGAAGATGACATCCGCACGATCTTTGGCTATGGTGCCTTGCAGTACACCAAGGCTCTATGCCAAGGCCAGTTTGATTACCTGGCACGTCTCCCTGATTCTTTACTTCTGCAAATCGTCAACCACCTGGAGATAGAAGATGTGGGTCAACTAGGGCGAACTTCGCGCAGGTTCAGGCAGGTGAGTACTCCCATTGCACAAAAATAAAAATGCGCCTAAGTGTTCAATAAAACCAGATTTTTTTTTTTTTTACCTGTCCACTGGAATTTAATAAATACGGTGAAAACTAGAAAGAGAAAAACAGGTGCAGTAGTCCCCGTTGATCTCGCCTTTTTCGCACTCCCCGTATAATGCAGATTTTTTTTTTTCTGTGAAATGTCTTTTTTTTTTTGTGTCGTGAAATATTTTTACAGCGTGTTGAAAAAGTGTGTTTAAATAAGTTTGAAAGTGTGCGGGGAACCGTATCTTTGGCCTTTTGAATTTACAGTATTATATTGTACTTCTCAACTCTGTTCGTTAGTTATGTGGCTCAGAGGAGTTCTGGGAGCAGGCAGTTCGGCGCTGCTGCAAAACAGTTTCCCCCGAGGTTCCCGCCCTGGCGCAAGAAGTGGGTTGGCGTAGCATCTTTTTCACCAACAAGTTGCAGCTGCAGAAACTCATCAGCCGCCGCCGGCTGAGGGCCGAAGAGGAGAAGACCGAGCTGACTCCAGAGAAAAGGTCAGAGACATCTCGTTCCGCCCTAAAACCAGTCGCTGAGGTGGAACACACAATGGAAGGATGAGAGCACAAAAAATAAAATAAAAAAATTAAACAATTCCATATTTTTCCTTCTGTTGTATTATTTTGATTTGCCACTTATATAACTTGCTTCCATTATTTCTTTTAAGTGTTCCCATTCTTTGGTTGTATTATTCAAATCGTTTGTTGAGCCCTTGCTAAGAGATTATTATCCATCTGAATATTACCACCAAAAATACATTTGAACAAATACACTGACGAGCAACATTTTTGTGCATTTAGTGCATCTGAGTCTTGATGACATCAATGGAACCCCCCCGATCCAAAGTGGATGCAATCTTGGTGTTGAAAATCCAAATGTTGGATACTTTGGACTTCATTTATTCAAATTTTTGCCAGTGACTTTCAAAGTGGGTCTCATTTGAAAGCTGGCAAATTGTAGTCTGAATCAGGCGAGAATCTCGGCATCATTTTACTTTTGGAGCAACAGAAGGCCAACAACATCACCAACTTCTCCCCCAAATTAGTGTTGCCTGTGCCATCAAAATGGCCATGTCGATTGTTTCCAATCAAATTTTTCAACATTTACATTTTTTTCCAGAAATAAAAAAATTAGGCTGATTTAATGTTGATTTATTAATTTATTTTTCTTCAAATTGTGTTTGTCACTGGCGACCACTCCCCAGATCCTTGAGTGGACAGATTGAGTCATTAAAAGGATAGACCATGTAACGACCATGTACTCTAGATACTCGAGAGGCTCTGGCCCTCTTAACCTTTACTTGCTCGTCAATCCACGCTAATCCCTCCAAGGTTAAAAGGCTCATGCCTCTCGCACATCAAACATCTCATAGAAAGTGGTGAAAATAGCGCCAGACGCTTCTGGATTGTCGTCGTTGTCTGAACCTCAGCTCAGTCTCCCACTCAATCGCTGACATGTTTGCCCACATATGACTCGCGCCTGCGGCATAATCCATTAATTGGCGATGGAGCTCCAATGACAATTCGTGGCTCAGCAGAGATTCTCTCATCGTGGTTCCTAGTGGGACCTCGTACAGTGACTTGTGAGCGTGAAGATTAACCCTATGACCCCTTGGTAGTGCTGGAAGCCTTGCCCCTGTTTCATCCACTCAGGGGTCTTAAACCCTTCCCGAGTCTGTGATCCATTTACAACATGACGTTTGACATGTTTGATATTTAGGGCACATTGAATCTCGTGTTAAATGGGAGTCAGCACACAGATGCCACCATTTAAAAGTTCTAGTAGGCTTTTTCTGACATTTTTTTGGGGGGGGGGGGGCTGAAGGTTTTGTGCTAACAGACTGCTATTTTGAACGGTTCATAATTCCCTCCGCCTCGTCCCAGGTTCCAGGTGAAGAAAAGAGCCCCCAAGGCTTGATGTTGTCACCACCGCGCTTCACTAAAGGCCTCATGTTCTTCTTTAGTGATGAGCAGTGTTGTGGTTTCACCTCGTCAAAATTATGGCCAACCCACGTGCGCCGGGGAGACTTTGTAATGGTCAAAACAACAGATCGAAACCGGAGTTCAGACCATTCAGAGATTCCCTCAATCATTTGTTACAATTTAATCGACCTGAAACTGGTTGTTCAAATTTCCTATCATCAGTCAAGGAAATAGGTGACCAGAAAAGAAATACTCCCAATGGAACGAGTGAGTGCCCCGTCAAGGATCCCTGCGAGTGACCGCCGAACATCATGAACAGATCTAGAGGGCCGCAAAGCTTCTTAGGGCATAGCCCGCTTACGATTCCCTTTCTGTGCACAGCATCCTCAAATAGACCACACAAAGATACTTAAGCCAAAATCCCTCCCTGGTATTTAATTCTAAATGAGTAATTACTGGGTGTGTCAGTGTGTCTTAGGTTTGCAGGTAGGTCGGGTGAAGAAGCTCATTCGTTCCCCGGCTTTTGAGAGTCCCGCAACCCCGCGAAGTCCTCCGACACGCCGCATCGGTTGCAAGAGGGTTTTTCCCTTGGGAGTTGTTGAAGAAGCCAGCCGCGTAAGGGGGGGCGGGGGCGACCACCTACAGCTGCCAAGATGTGTGACATGGGGGGACTGGATAACCTGGTGGCCAACACGGCCTACCTCAAAGCCCAGGGTGGCGATGACAAGGAGATGAAAAAACGCCGCCGGAGCTTGTCTCTGCCCAAGCCGGACCAATGCGCTGCGGTGCGATCCGCAATCGATAAGGACTTCACATCCATCTGTGAATGGCAGCCTATCGGCAAAAAGTTTTTCCGTCAGTTCCTGGCAACCAATGCCCAGTATAAGCTCGCAGGCGATTTCTTAGACGAGCTCTACGACTGGGATCTGGCCGAAGGCGCGGTCAAAGACAAGACGCGTCAGAACATCATCAACAAGTTTTGCAAAGCCGACTCCAAGAACTTCTTGTCCTTTCTCACCGGGGAGGCGGCTGACAAATGTAAAGCAGTGACAGATTCCAACTTCAGTGAGGTGATGAAAGGGAAAGTCCATGAAGGCGTGAGAGAGTATTTGAAGGGAAAACCCTTTACAGATTACCAGGCCAGTCCATTATTTGATAAATTTCTCCAGTGGAAGGAGTATGAGAAGCAGCCCATCAGCGACAAATACTTCTATGAGTTCAGGACTCTGGGAAAAGGGGGCTTCGGTGAGGTAAGAATAGATCTTCGTGACATATTGTCCGTATGTTTGATAAAATGATCTCTTCAAATTGTTCAGATTCTGTGAATATGATCCTCAGCAAGATTTAACCCCCCCTCCCCCCCCCCACACACACACACACTATTCCTACAACTGTAATTTTGTTGACATGAAAGATTTTACCGGGAGTATAAATATGAAGACCCCTTACATCGCTGACGTGACATTAACACATAGCAACTTGTTTTCATCAAGTCGTGAGGCGCTCACAAACCTCATGGTTCAATTTTAGAAACCTACTTTTCAGTATAAATGGCACAACATAGTTTCCGCTATAAATGGCACATGTTCAAGAAGTGAGTCTTGAGGAATCCCTTTACTGACGACTGAACGTTATTTGTAAAATAGTGATGGAGAAAGTAGAAAGAGCATGTTTTAATCATCGTATGCAACACACATCACCCATTGAGAGCAGTACATATTTCCAATTTTTTTTAAAAATGGATAATAAAGTTTGTTAAATGTGTGAGGAGGTCGTCCTCATGAGCTCAAGTGACAAATGCTTGTTGCTATGATAAGCTGTGATCGAAAATCTTAATATTTTGGATAAAAACGTCACATTGTTAGGTGCTGATGATGGCTAATCGTAAATTTGAAGCGACGGTGTTATTTATTATGCAGTCTGAATGACACATGACCGAGTACAGATCCTTGGGGAACTCCTTTATTCAGTATCATGCTCGGTGGACCTCTTTGCAGTAAATCTTGCTGTGCAATGACAAAAAAGGTGTCAGAAGGTTTTCCAGACATTGTTTTGATTGCAAGGCTCCGGCTGTCGAAAACGTTTCACCGATCAATAACCTAAATGAGAGAATTTGTGTGGATTACCACTCTGGCTGAACCCTTTCTCAACATTAAAAGTGCGCCATTGTTTTCATTTCAAAGGACACCTATGTTGAACATTTCTGAAAATGTCTGCCACCTGGCTTCAAAGCTTGTAAACGAGCAGGTTGACTTATTGAATTGATAAAATTCCCACTGCACCCTGAAATGTAGTTTTAGACTAAACGTGAGTCTAATTGGTGACACAGTCACGGATGTGAGATGAAATATGGACTTTTTGCATCATAGAGCTACGATACATTTTGGGAAATTCCAAAAGCCAACGGATCAATACAGGTGGAGTCAAAGGTTGCTTCTGTGGCAGCTTGAATCCATTTTTATTTTATTTATTTTTTTACAGGTATGCGCTGTCCAGGTGAAAAACACAGGCCAGATGTACGCCTGCAAGAAGTTGTGTAAAAAGCGTCTGAAGAAAAAGGGTGGCGAGAAGATGGCACTTTTGGAGAAAAAGATCTTGGAGAAGGTCAACAGTCTTTTCCTGGTCAACTTGGCCTACGCTTACGACACCAAGACCCACCTGTGCCTTGTCATGACCTTGATGAATGGAGGAGACCTCAAGTACCACATCTACAATATAGGCTATGACGGCAAGGGTGTGGACAAGGGCATTGAGATGAAGCGCATCGTTCACTACACGGCCCAGATCACCACCGGTATTCTTCACCTGCATGCCATGAATATCATTTATCGTGACATGAAGCCCGAGAACGTGTTGCTGGACAGCGTTGGCCAGTGTCGACTTTCAGATTTGGGTCTGGCCATCGAGATTGCCCCTGGCAAAACCGTCTCCCAGATGGTGAGTAGTGCTCTTTCTGGACACAAATCCAGCCTTGCTCCCAAAATTGCGAGAGACCGAGAGCAGAGTGAAGGCATGGCAACCCTCGTAAAGTGCTAAGTGATTCCTCACAAGCGGCACCGAGCTTCCGGTGCTCAGCTCTCATTAGGTCAGGAACGGTGTCATTAGCTCGTCGCTAAAACTGAACCCAGGTTCTTGGGCAGGTTGTCAATCTGGGTGGGTTTTGTCACTGTAAATCCGGACAGGGATTACAGCACCGCTTAAAGACCTGTGCTCTGTATTCATGATGTAACTCATCCTTTTGTGATCAGATTAGAGTGAAGGCATTTTCGGGGCATCTTGGAATATCTTGAGTCAGTACGTAACCGTTCGTCACTGTGTTGCAAACCTCCACATCCTTACCCATAACCCCTGAAAATCTACTTTCACCACTAGCTAGCTTTAAAAAAAAAAAAACTTTTTAACATAGTAATTACCATGTAATAATAATAATCATAATACATTTTATTTATAAGCGCCTTTCAAAACACTCAAGGACACCTTACAATCAAAACAAGAAACAATAAAACCACAGATAAAAATATAAATAATAAAAGGAGAGATGAATTTAAACTGAGTATGCGATTTTAAATTGGTGGGTTTTGAGATGGGATTTGAATGTGAGAAGAGAATCAATATTTTGGATGTTGGGTGGGAGTGAGTTCCAGAGTTTGGGGGCAGAGCGGCTGAAAGCTCTGCACCCCATCGTGCTGAGATGGGCAGAGGGTACACAGAGGCGGAGGGAGGATGAAGACCTGAGGGAACGAGAGGGAACGGAAATTTGAAGGTCAGACAGATGGAGTGGGGGGGCAAGGTTATGGATGGCTTTAAATGTATAGAGGAGTATTTACTATGTTTTCTTCAAAATATATATATATATTTTAGTAAAGAATTAGTCCAGTCCAATCCCTTCTTCTTCCGACAGGAGGAAAACTATTTTTGATTGACAAACTCCAAAAGTCCCGAAAGATGACCAATTGTGAAACCGGGTATCTTTAGGCCTTGTACTTGCCGTAGCAAGGAGTAATCCCTCGACTCTTTTGAACGTCCAGTAATCTCATTATCCAGTTCTGTGATGCTCCTCAGCCAGCTAAAGTGACTGCACTAACCTCGTATGGCAAGGCTGGCTTTGGTCCCCCTGAATCCTCTTAACGGGCATTATACAGTCTGTCCCTGATCAGATTGACAGAAAAGTAATAGTAGAAGTTTTCAGGCAAGGTGACTTGAAGTTTATAGCGAGTGAGTAGAAACATCTCGTCTTCTACGCTCTCAATGGATCACCTAAAAACTCCCAGAGAAGTTGATAATAACGCTACACGTGCCCGGTACATAACATGCCACACTCGGGTTTTGGCGTTTAGTATCTTGCCAGCCTAGAGTCGGACAGCTTTCGACCAATTTCTTGGCTGTGTCTTGTCGTGATCGACCAATTTCTTGGCTGTGTCTTGTCGTGATGTTCAAGTGCATCAATCGGTCACAAGAGGCCCCGCATCGCCTTTTTACGTGTCCCACCTCACAGTCCCCCCAGCGGCCCAGAAATGGTTGGTAGGTATGTAAGAGGCCGGAGAACTCTCTCAGCGTGTAGACGCACATGACTCTTGACAGGTAGTAGGCTTAGCATTAGGATTAAGATCCTGGCTCGAGACTGCAGGTCAGGTCGTGCAGGATGAGGGGAGGAGGGGCCCTCGGGGGTGGAGGGGATGACACCAGGGCCGGTGGAGAAGAACTAAGCTAAAGGTGAAAGTGAACATGGCCGTAGAAATCTTTGAAGGCTCATACATCCCACTTGAATCGTTTATGCGTGAAGACCCGAGCCCATCCTTCATGTTCCTTCTTCCCTTTCCCCTGTTGTCCTTCCACAGGCTGGTACCGGAGCATACATGGCCCCGGAGCTTCTGAACAAAACTCCATACAGGACGTCAGTGGACTGGTGGGCGCTGGGCTGCAGCATCTACGAGATGGTGGCCGGCTACACGCCTTTCAAAGGGCCCGAGAGTAAAAAGGAGAAGGTGGAGAAGGAGGAGGTGCAACGTCGTATTCTCAACGAGGAACCCAAGTGGGAGCACAAATGCTTCGATGCCACCACAAAAGACATCATCCAGCTGTTCCTCAAGAAGAAAATGGACGAGCGTCTCGGCATGAAGTGAGACTTAATCGAGCACAGTCATTCGCAACCGCACTATCTTGAGAGCATTAAAAAAATACTTTTTTTGTATCGCATAAGAATAAAAATACCCTTCCAACATGCTTTAAATCACCCAATGCACATACTTTACATTACGAAAAAAAAAGTGGATATTCTCATTAATTATTTACCTTTAGTGGAAGAAGTTCGAATTGTTTTACCTCTTTTACATGGATAGTTAAAAAGAAAAACATACATTCTTTGAAGTCAGGGAATCATTTTCAGACCAATTGAACGAAATGGGATCATTTCCTCCGGCACATTGGTTGGGAATCAATTCTTTAAACGCATTTAAATGATTGAAACATACTTTTTTTTTTGTCAGGCCACTCGCATCTGCAAAAACTAAAATTATTCATCAAAACACACACGAAGACAAGGCTGCGGATTTGAAATTGCGTCACCATAGAGACCAGCCCTTTTCAACGCTATGGATTGATCAATAATTCTGAGAAAAAGTACCAGACCCACATTAGGACTGACCAATAGTTTGATTTGTGAAAAATAAATCGAAATGGAGCAAATGTGGAGATTTCACAAGGTGTCTCGCAGATGCCACTGTTGTGCATAAATATCGGAACAACAAACCCCAAACTGTACTTAAAATTAATTAAATGATATTGCACATACATACAAAAGCAATTACCTGAATATTTCCCCCCCAATTTTTTATTTTTATTTTTTTTTTTAACGGTACGTTTCTTTCCTATTGTTTAGGGACAACATGGAGGATCCCAGGAAGCATCCGTGGTTCAAGAGCATAAACTTTGCCCGTCTGGAGGCTGGCCTGGTGCCGCCCCCGTGGACGCCCAAGCCCAATGTGGTCTACGCCAAGGACACAGACGACATCGCCGAGTTCTCCGAAATCAAAGGCATCGAGTTTGACGCCAAGGATGACAAATTCTTCAAGGAGTTCAGCTCGGGCGCCGTGTCAATTCAGTGGCAGCAGGAGATGATCGAAACGGGACTGTTCGACGAGCTCAACGATCCCAATAGGAAAGAGGGCAGCGGAAATGTGGATGATGAAAAGAAGTCCGGCACTTGTATTTTGCTGTAAGAGGACTCCTCCTTCATTTTTCACATCGCGTGCACACCTTTAACATGTCCAAGTATGGATCATTGTTCAGGGAAAAAAAAAAAAAAAATGTATATGTTAGTTTTCAAGTTCTCAGGCTGAGATCCACTGGCCCTGACATTATGAAATGACGATCGATGGCAGTCACGAAAATCCTGACAGAAGAATGACAACAAATTTAAAAAAAAAGCAAAGTAAGCACACCAAAGGAATCTACTTAAGTACAGAAGTAACTACAAACCCAATGCCAATGAAGTTGGAATGTTGTGCTTTCTTATTTTATTTATTTATTTATTTATTTATACTGTTACAAGAACGCCATCTTGGGAAAAAAACATATGTAAAAACAGAAATCATGCTCAACCTATATTTAATTGAATACTCCACAAAGACAAAATATTTAACGTTCAAACTGATAAATGTTATTGTTTGGATGCCATGATTGGGGAAAAAAATGAGTTTCTCTGTTTTTTTTCCAGGCAATCACAATAGCGAGCGTGTGAGAAAAGCGTTCTGTGGTCTGATGAGTCCACATTTCAAATTGTTTTTGCAGACAGTCCAGACCTGTTTGCCATTGGAAATATGCGGCACGTTACGAACCGTAAATAAAATACAACAACGGAGGCAGTTGAACAGCTCAAGCTTTTTGGAAGCGTGTGCCATCCATAACATTCTAAATTAAAGATTATTTGCCAAAAACAATCAAATGAATCCGTTTGAATATAAAATATCTCGTTTTTGTCTTGTATTCCATTTCACATGATTTGCAACTGATTGTATTCTGTTTTTATTTTATGTTGAAAACAACGTTAACGCAACTTCATTGGAATTAGGTTTGTAAGGATTTGTACGTTTATGCTCCACCACTAAAACCGACACGTCATTCCGGATGGTCTGGTAGACGTCAAAGTTGAAGCCTTCCCTGGCAGGCCATCATCATTCTGCCATCGTAAGGACACACACACACACACACACACACACACACACACACACACACACACACACACACACACACAATGAAAAGTGCTTTTTTTAATGACTGTAGTCGGTGTGCAGTTCAATCTCAAACCTCTGACCTCTTTCTTGAAACTTCTATGAAAGCAAAAAAAAAAAAAAAGCGTAAATATTGTACATAGGGTACATCGATATAACTCTATATCCTGAGTGAGGAGCAGTGTAAGTGGTTTAGTACCCCTTATTTTGGTGCTATGAGGCAAATCCACGAAATAATAGTAATGAATGGATATTATTATACCCGAGAATGGGAAGGACGGGTGGAGAGGGACATTTTTGAGGAATTGGGTCATGAATTCTGGAATGTTCTGTTCTTTGCAAATAACTCAAACCAGATGCGGAGAGGATATCCATTCGCAGCATCGTCCACAGTCTTTTTGTTTCAGCAAAAATGCCACAAGATTGATAATTAGAATTAAAACGATACACTAAAATGCTACCAAGTCCTCCCGAGAACAGCCGGTGTTATTTCAAGGGAGTATGAATGTTTCTGAGGGTCCTTATTTTGCTGAAGGCTTTTGACATTCCTCAATTTTGAGCTTGCGTTTTTACCATTAATGTTGAAAGGTTAAATGTACGTACTTGTAAATATAACACGAGAGAAGTTTTAACAGGATATGTAGAAGACAGATGTAAGGTTGAAATTTCATGAAATAAAGTGCAAAATGTCTTTTGAAATGTGTGTTGTCTGTTTTTGTCGCCCAGAGTGGTCCAATTAAAAAAATATATAATAATAATAATGAAGAAAAACGAAAGTAAGAGGGGAACCCACTTATCTTGTGCTTATGAAATATGCAAAAAATCACTTTGGTATTCTGGAGGTCAACATATGCTAAGCAGTTTAACGTCATTGACGACATAGTATAGTTGCCTGATTCATTTTAAACTCTGTTAAAATATAAATGTTTAAAAAGTACAGTACAATACTTGCTAAAACATTTTTCCTTGTTTTCCAAAAAAATTTCACATTTGACTTTTGCTATATTGGCTCATGACATCATACAAAACCTTAGTGATTCACGACAAAACAAAAAAAATGCTTAGTATTTAACTCTGACTTACTACAGTATTTTAAAATTAAAAATTGTGCCAGACATTCAAATGTATTTACGTGTTTTTAAAATGTTGTCATTTCCTCCCTTAGTTGAAGTAGAGCAAATAGTAAAACCTGATCATAACGAGCTGGCTGCGTCTGTGCTTCAGGCCTGCGCTGGTTGACAAGTTCAACTCTTAGCTGATAACGGGATAACCGCTGTTATCCTTTTGCCTTCTTTGTGTAAATCATCCTCAAATCCTTTAAGGTTCTAAAGCGTCCCGTGCAACTGCCAGGAGGTCCATCGGTGAAGAAAGTGGATTCGGTAAAAAGAAGTACAGTCTAGCCTGATTTGTAATATTTGTTATAAATGACTTACGAAGTACAATGCCATTTAAATCAGGGGTTTAAGCAAAAAAATATCTGTATAAAAATTTGAAAAAAAAAATATTGTCATCTAGTGGTGAACTAGTAGAATGCAACGACGCGAACTCGAAGCATGTTCATGTAGCAGGGCCAGTAAAAAACGTACTGTACTGTGTTAGAATTACACAAAATTTGTGAAATGATAAGTACCTGACGTGTTATTTTACCATATCTTCCATTATCAGAGGGTGGAACAAACATTTTTATATGTTCCCTTACTTCAATAATTAATGTGGCACTGCCACTTTCAACAACTCGCGCCTTTGACTTTCCCCTCTTTCGCTTGATGTCCGTGGGAAGGTAAATCATTCTCAGAGCTGGAAAAATAATTGTTTTCATTTACAAGTTTAAGTATTTTATTACATTACTGTGCCATATAATTTATGTAGGGGCAAGCTGTATCACTCTAATTGACGGGAGGCCATTGTTTTCTGCTAAGTCCGTCAGGCTTTGTGATTGAGACGGTTAAACGCAGCCGATACAAGAGATTCTTAAAACACAACGCAGTCGGACACTACCGGTTACATGTACTGTACTGTATTTTGAAACACACGCACTACGGTGTCTCAAAGAGGCCATACTTTGCACGCTTCTTACAAGCGAACTACCACTTCAACTGAGGTGTCAGCAAAATGTCATAAAATATGACTTCGACTATTCCTTCTAGTGACGGAGTAACTGAATGGTTTTGTTACACAAGCTGTGGCATCATGTTGAAGCACTACTTTCGCTATCGAGTATCCGAAAGATGGTAGCCTCCTATTTCCCAAAAAACAAGATATGCCAATGTGCTGTTTTTTTTTCTTCAAAATCACTTTTATTCCACAATTTATTTCATCAGGTCTTAAGGCACCCTGAGAAGATGTTACAAGTTGTTCTTTCAAATGTGGGCTCCTTTAAAGACTGTGTAAACATAGCTTGGAATAAGATCATTTCCTGTAAATCTTTGCTTAAATTATTTCTTTACAGTCCACAGACATTGTGTTTTGTGCCAAAAATACGGTGTGTGAATTCAGTAAATATGGTTGATAGTGTTTACAGTATATTATATACATTGAGCAAGAGTAATAGACAATCAGATCAACGGGCTGAAGAAGCGAGAAAACTAACAAACAATCTTTGAGACCCGGATAGATATACAGATCACGTAGAGATATACAGTACATACTTACAGTGAATGCTGAACTTTTTTTTTCCCCCCTCCTTTCTCCTCTCCGACTTCCAAGCAATTTACAATGTACTTAGTGTGTGTGCATTTTGTCTCCTCAGCTTGCATCTGTGGGAAGCCGTTTCAGTATTAATTCCATATCCCTCATATCCAACCTAACGTCCACGTAGTCATCTGCGCTTCGCCTTCACTGGTAAGACAACTCGACACACTTACTCATGATATTGATATCCGCTACCGGTGCCGCTTTTTGGCCTACTACTACACCATCAAACCTTACTATTAAGCTACTGTGCTGCACTAGTAACACTATTAGAGCCAACTGGTCAGCACGAGTAACCGCCTGTGCCCTGTTAGTAGCACCAAAATGTCCTATGGCTGTTTTGTCTGATGATGTAACTCATTGTGCGTATGTTTGTGCTCGTCTCAGCAAAATGCCCCGTTGTTCTGTGTTGTGGTTTCCACAAAATAATTCACACTCGTTGAGACTTCTATACGATGGTGAATTGCTTCAGTGACTCTTTGATGATGCTGTCTAAATCGCTGCTTGGCCTTACCACTGTATTTATTACGTCAGGTTTTGCAGACTTGGTTTATGGTATTTTTTGGGCCCTTGAAAGCAAAATGTCCCCGCAAAACACTCAGCGTCTCCTTTTCCTGAACGGGCTGAGAATTAGCGCATACGCTTCTTGCGGTGTCTCATGCACACGCGCGCTCACTTCAAGGTCTTTCTACCCAAAGATTGTTTTGACGCTTTGTGACTGTTAAAAATTAAGAAAAAAAAGATCTGAGCTATTTTATCCAATGTGAATTAGCTGAAAATTTCATGATCGGCCGTGACTTCCGACCACATGATCGATCAGGAAAACTCGTGTTACTTGTAAGACGGTCATTGAGTTGTCTTACGACTTGAGCCAAAGAGCGTGCTGGTACGTGGACCTTAAACGGAATATCGAGGACATCAAGGGGAATCGGTCAAATGGCTTTTCATGGCATCAATATGCAGCATCTAACCCTCTCTCCCTTTTGTGAGGAGGAGGAGGAGGAGAGACAGAGCGAGACAATTGATCTCATCCTGAAGGGCTCACCCACATGTCGGCTATTGCAATGGCGACATGACCGCACAGGAAGACAGACAGACAAACAGACAGACAGACAGACAGACATGCAGACAGACAGCACGAGACTAGGTTGCGGCAACGCGGGCCACAACACAAAGATCTATCTATCTATTTTTTTCCCTAAATAAGGTTCACTATGTATTTATATGCAGAAAGGGAATTTTGTCCATATACATAGGAATACACTGGCTATATTAGATTGATTATCAGCATATGGAGTCTTTGTGGTGTTTTCTGTGACACTTCTGGTCAAAAAAAAAAATACTGGAAATGAGTTGCTGGGCTTCCACGCCATCTCACAAGATAAGGATCCTCCAATCATCTCGGAGGACCAGGTTTGATGGTGTTGTTTGTGTACCGTCTGGCTATGGGGGCATGAAAACAAACAACACGCCTCTCTTCCCAGTATGAAGGAAGGTCGACAGTCCAGAGGTGTCAAACTCAAAGTTGGTCTACTTCATGTTTCACGCTAAATTAATTTGTTTGATTTTTGCAGAAAATCTGGACCAAAGTTGCAATTTTTCTTCCATTTTGGGAGATTGGGCTTTTGGGTGAAATTTCAGGATGAACCTAAAATGCTCTAGAACACAGGTGTCGAAGTCCGGTCCTCGAGGGCCGGTGTCCTGCATGTTTTCCATCCCTCCCTGCTGCAACACACCTGATCCAAATGATCAGTTCATCAGCAAGCTCTATCGGAGCCTGATAGTGATCCTGATCATTTGAATCAGGTGTGTTGCAGCAGGGAGGGATGGAAAACATGCAGGACACCGGCCCTCGAGGACCGGACTTCGACACCTGTGCTCTAGAACCTTTTCAGCTGACCTGCAGTATACGGGTCTGATCAAGTGGGGCTTTCGAACACTGAATTGTATACATTCCTACATGAAAATTAAGATCACCTGTAAAGGTTGTGGTGCATTTTAGGTTCATCCAGAAATTTTGCCCAAAAGCAGAATATCACTTTTTTTAAATGAGTTGTGTCTATACAGTACAGTAAAAATAACAACAGAATAATTAGCCAGTTGAGTCGATGTAATAATATGATGAGGTGAAAACGCATTTATCTGGCTTTCCATAGCCATGCTGTTTCTTCAAGTGAAACCAAAATTGAGTTTGACACCGCTGATCTACACAATATGAAAAAGTTGCATCAGCAATAACACGACGGCTCCAAATGGCTTGCTTGCATTGGCTATTAAGTCAGCTAATCACATCGAAATGAAACCATAACAGGGGGAAGGGGAGGGATGACATGTGCAACAGGTGGAAGGGATGGTTCAGGAGCACAGCCTGTGTTTTGTTCTCTTGGGATCTTTTGCAGAGGTCGGTATGGAATCTCGAAGGAAAGAAGGGTCATTAACATCATCAACGCAACATTTGTAACCGGCGATGGGCCAGACTAATCTCAGCCCGAATGCTGTCTTGAGAGTGATTTGATACTTCCTTCCTTAGCGAATGTGTGCAGCCTCTGCACCGGGGGTGGGAGGCTGCTGTTGGGCGTGGGGTGGGGTGGGGGGTGGGGGTTCCCTTTGACCGTCCATTTTCCTCCTTTTTACTCCACCACCTTGACCCTGAAAGTGACGCGACCCAGGAACTTATCCCTCTCGTCGTTATTGCGCAGGTTGGAGCCCTCTACCCGGCATTCCACCGACAGCTCCTTGTTGTAGTCCTCCTTGTTGAGCAGCAGCTTGACAGCAACCAGAGGCTGAACATAATTCACCTGGAACGTACGAGAGACACAGTCAACTATGGCTCCACGGTTGGAAAATTACCAAGTACAGTACAAATACTTCCTTGCTGTACTTAAGTAGATCTTTCGCTGCTAACTTGACTCACAAGTTGGATTCATTTCATGACCAAGGTGACTTAATTTATTCATATAGTGGTACCTTGATGTATCAGGGCCCCCGTTTGTGAGCCGTTCAAAAATTTAATGACTATACTTTCGTAACCACGTTTGAAAAGCTACATTTGCACCATGATCCCTATTGCAGTCTGATTTCAGGCCACAGTGGACGAAACGGGACGGTCGAGAGATGCCTGGCGTTTATTAAGCATTTATTGAGTGATAGTATGTCGCCCCCCCCCGCGCAGACGCCGACACGGCAACGGAGCTTCATTCAACTCTGCTCCAAAGCTTCCGAGTGTCCACGTTTAAAAAGTCCAGACAAACGTGATAAACGCCCTAGAGGCTGTGATAGACTGTGACAAAACTGAATGTGGTTCAAGGAAGTTGGTGCAATGCCCGGAGTGAGTGATCTGTACCTTCTGCAGATTTCCCGGTGGGCCGGGCGACAATATATATGCCACTCGGAGCCATTACTCCCGCTCGCGCATTAATTTTCTCTGGCCCACCGATCCATTTTGAAATCAGCAAATACAGCGCCAGCGCATCCACGATACTTCAATCCAAATATCACCGTCTCGTGAGACACACTCACATGTGCTTTCTTGCCATAGTAGGGGAAGTACATCTTGTCAATGCGTCCCTTTCGGGGGAAGTACTGCATCTGAACCGGGTTGTCTTTCTGCAAGAGGAGAATCCACGTGAGCGACGCGTGCCTTATACAAAGTTCCATCCGACAAGAACACAAAGCGATGACCCACTTTTGTTAGTGTGGAGTTTGTCATGAAGTGGAAAGCATGGTGTGGTGTTTTGTCATTTGCTATTTGCGGCGCACATTATGCGGATTGCACTAAAAATGGCTTGAAAATGGCACGGGGGGTGAGTTTGGGCGTCATTGTGACTTGACTGTGCAGTCATTCTTATTCTTAATACCAATACTGGCCTAACATTCCCGATACGTGACATACCATCTTACCCTAAATTCGCCACTGACAGCATGCAGAAGAAAGTCAATAAGAAACAAAACAGACAGACAGACAGACAGAAAGGAGGGGGGGAAATGAAATCAAGATCAACAAAACTACGTCTTGGCGCTGTTCTGTTCATCACAGCTTTTTTTTTTTAAATAAGAGAAATGAAAAAGACAAAAAATACACATACAAGTATGTCTATTTGGGAGGGGAAAAGTTTACTTTGACGGTGCAGTTGACGTAGGGGTCCCCCAGAGGCTTCAGGCCAATGATCTAGAAGGTGAGCAGAGAAACCAATTCAAATGAAAGCAGACATGAATCTGGCCTCAACACTATCACAACATTTATAACCTAAATGCTAATATTTGGTCCATGAAATTGTATCGATTGATTCCCAAAAATCTATCCTTTTCATTTTGTCTCTATGCTGCATTGCTTCTGGTACATGTATGATTATGGATTTTTTTTTTTTTTTTTTTTTGGGGGGGGGGGGTCCAATTGGATTTCAGCCTCGACATGTTGCTATGGCAATCTAATTTGCCCAGAACCTTCAAAATCAATAGTGCTGGCGCTTTTTTTTTTTAAATAAGAGAAATGAAAAAGACAAAAAATACACATACAAGTATGTCTATTTGGGAGGGGAAAAGTTTACTTTGACGGTGCAGTTGACGTAGGGGTCCCCGAGAGGCTTCAGGCCAATGATCTAGAAGGTGAGCAGAGAAACCAATTCAAATGAAAGCAGACATGAATCTGGCCTCAACACTATCACAACATTTATAACCTAAATGCTAATATTTGGTCCATGAAATTGTATCGATTGATTCCCAAAAATCTATCCTTTTCATTTTGTCTCTATGCTGCACTGCTTCTGGTACATGTATGATTATGGATTTTATTTATTTATTTATTTATTTTTGGGGTCCAATCAGATTTCAGCCTCTACATGTTGCTATGGCAATCTAATTTGCCCAGAACTTTCAAAATCAATAGTGCTGGCCCATGAAATCTTAGGTATATTAGCAAACAGACCGATTTCAAATTTGTCCTCACTGGGGCATCTATCTGGTCCACAATATCTGATCGATTGGTTGGTCAGAGCCAAACGGCTCGACAAACAAAACGAATCTGTGGCGAACTGCACAAATTAATTCATTCAGCCTCTCTGGTGAGTAAATTTGATTATTTATGTTTTTATCACATTATTAGATAGATAGTTATTGATTCTGAACTGAAGCGGTGCTACAGTATTAAGACGCAAGGCCCGCCACTCAATGATTCATGATGTTTATAGAAGGGGAAAGAGTTGTGGTTTTGGTTACCCTGTTGAGTTTCAGGAGCACGCACGGTCTTCCCTCAGAGTAGCCAAAGTTAATGTCGGACAGGCCGGAGCAGAGACTCAGGTAGCCGCGCCTGAAGCGACAGACTTTCTTTTCCAGTGCATCGTCCTGCAGGAAATACTGCCCTTCGAGGCAGTCCAGATACTTCTCCTGTTCGGTGTCATTGTAACCCTCTGAAAGGAGGAGAGGTGGACGCAGGTTAGAGGTCAATAATGGTAATGATCCTCCCACTAACATATGCGGTGATTTCTTTTTTACAAAAAGGTTGGGATATGGCACTTGACGAGAATATCAATAACATTTGGAATCCATCAAGGCGGAACGGCGGTAGACTAGTTAGCACGTCTGCCTCACAGTACAGAGGTGCAGGGTTCGATTCCGTGTGGAGTTTGCATGTTCTCCCCGTGCCTGGGTAGTTTTTCTCCGGGTACTCCGGTTTCCTCCAACATTCCAAAAACATGGCAGGTTAATAGAAAACTGTCCCACAGTGTGATTGTGAGAGCGGATGGTTGTTGGTCTATGTGTGCCCTGTGATTGTCTGGCGACCAGTTCAGGGTGTATGCACCCACCGCGACCCGTGTGAGAAATAAGCAAATTACAAAATGGATGGTTGGATAGATAGACAGGAATCCATCACGGCTCTCACTTTGCAGGAAGTTCTCCAGGCTTTCCACGTATGGCGCATAATTCAGGGGATCGGATTTGCTGAAAGTGATGTCCAGAGAGTTGGGAAGAACGACCAATCCTGGAACGAAGGAGGAAGCGAGTTGGGAAGAGCAGGGAGGTGAAGGAATCAGCTGCCAATCAGGTCGATATGTATAATACTGTAAAGCCAAATCTACATTGTAGTCCATTTACTACGATGGTATCTCATGACATGACTAATCAAGTATGAATAATGAATGGAGGTCCCCTGGCGATTAGCTTGAAAGGTTTACCGTAGTGCACGTCAGGACGAAGGAGACACTAACCTGGGAAGGGAACGCGGTCTCTGTACCTGGGTATGTTCTCATCCAGAGTGAGCAGCATCACCCACATGGTCAGGGCGAACATACCAGCCAGGAAGCAGTAGAACACCAAGTAGAACAACAAGATGAGGGCTAAAAGGGGGCCCAAGTGGAAACCAAAACACACACAAAAAAGGTGATGGAGCAATTAATACCTGCCACAAATACACAAAATTACATTTTCCTTGTCATCTCTCCTTTGAAGACGCCATCTCTGTGAGGAAAAGCATTTCAGATCAAAAGAGGGGATATTCTGGCTACTGTTCGTGAATATGGGAGCCGGCTTTCATTTTTAGGGAGGAGGCTGCAGCACTCGGCATAGAATGTTCTCTGCTGCGGGTGAAAAAAAAAAAAAGCCACACGGCAAAAGAGAAAAAAAAAGAAAAGAAACGTAATGTAAGTCATGAAATTAGCAGCATACCTTGGTGTTTTGAGATATGTTCGTAACTCAAAACACGATCTCGATAAAGGCCGTTCCAGCCTCCCCCCAAAAAAGCTTGAGCTACAAGTGACTTGACTTGCGAGTTTTTCGAGAAACGAGGTGCTTTGACTTGCAAATACGGATTGAAGATACCAGCACCGTATTGTGGCAATGGACTCAACAAGCTTTACAAAAAGCAGTTGTTCGGCAAATTGTGGAAAAATTCGTTGAAAAAGAGCCTTCAAGCTGTTTATTGCCAGTCCCACTTCAAATATATCTTGCCAAACCAAACGTGAAACAGAGTTGTATTTCAGGCATCTACCCGGATAGCTTTTTGGTCTACTAATTTAATGCTAATGCTAAATAGCTTCTGTGTAGCCGTGCAAAAACCCTTGACGCAATAGATTGAACACAAACAGGCAGACTGACAATATAACAGTACTCACGGGCGTATATTCTTTATCCTCTGCGTGGAATGTTTTATATTAGTGCCGTAGTGATGAGCAGAGAGAGACTGAGCCATCTCCATGTACATTATTTCTGTCTGTCTGTCTTACAATGCCCCCAGGTGGCTAAAGCGTTCACACCAGAAGGAAGCACCACAATAGCCATGAAATTGACACAAAGGGTGACTTAATTATTTGATGACTGTGTCTTCTTCTGAAGTACAACGTTACGGAATGCGACAATTATTGGGGGTAGGCGGGCGTAGGCCGGAAAGGCCTTTGCGACTTTGCGATGCAACTCTTTTGATTGTGGTCATGGAATGAATTCAAGTCGTATTTCAAGGCACCGCTGTATTTCCTATTGTGGGCTGACCTTATTCATAACCAGATCAACATTCTAAATGAGAGGTCATGATAAAAATATTTGAAGCAAGTGAAAGGCTCTTACACAAGACTGGCTGGGGAGAAGAAATATCTATACACTGCAATAATAGGGAATCCAAAGTAAGGGTGGGGGAGTAATTAAATGATAAATATCTTACTTATTTTAAACAAAATGACCTGCCCATACAACAGAAAAATGTACAGCATCCAACGATGCCAGCCTCATGCTTCTACCCCCCACCCCCCAACCCCCTTTTCCATCATTCCTCCCCAGCCGTATCCCACAATGCTTCATGCACGAAGCGGGTTGGTGGGATGGAAGAAGCGAGGAACAAGAAGAGAGGGAATCCCATTTGACCTTGACAGGCATGCTAATGTGGGCGGCCATGCAACTGCAATGGAGCATCCCACTGCACAGCAGCACAAGGGGGTGTGCGGGGGGGTGGGGGGGCTGCATGACGGCCCCCGCTCTGCAGCCTATAGGAGCTGGATGCTGTGTTACTACCTCTACCCCTGACCATCATTACATAAAAGCATCTTCGAGTTGCATACTGAGGACCAACACTCCTCTCATCATATTCTCATTCATGCAGATGAAAGGAAGAGATTAGAATTGAAATCCTGATTAAGTGGTAATGACTCATTCCTGCATCCTTACATGTATAGATATGCACCTCATCATGGTGCAGGCTTCTCTTGTACGCCTTCATAGGCCTATGATGGTCCTTCACATCCCCGCTCCCCATTTTTTTTCAGAGGCTCATGTCATTTAATGCAGCATAAGCACGTGTCGAATTCAGAAAAAAATGCAATAGGGTTATTCTTACCCCAGCTGCCGGCTGTGCGCCCCAGAACCTCTCCGGTCCTCGGGTTATAGAAGGAGTCCTTCCAGCTGGATGCCTCCGTCTTGTTGGTCGGTTTATCCTCCGTGCTCGCCATGGTGGGATTCTCTTCAAAGAGGTCGCGAGAGGGTTAGAAGAAAAATCCCCAAAATATGGGGGGTTAGTTTGCACCGTCGGTGCAAAAAAAAAAAAAAAAAAAATGCACAAAAGCGCACAGCGGGTGATGTAATGAGGCGAAGAAGCTGGCGAGTGGTCGGATCAATGGTTGAGAAGGTGTGGGCGGTGTAGAAAGAGGGGAGCAGGCAGGCACAAGGAAAGGAAGGAAGGAAGGACGGAAGGCTCTGGTGCTGGAACCTAAAAAAAAAAATAAAAAGTCCAGTGACGTCGACAAATGCCCCTCGGTGCCAGCTGATGTGGAGAAAGGATGCGCATTGGTTGCCGGAGCATGAGACACGCACCAATTACAAATTTAGGACGCGCTATCTTGCTTTCTTATCATCGCTTTCTGCTCCATCCGCGATTTGTGGCCGTGCATCTGCTTCCCACAGTTAATATTGCACAATGTGTTGAAAGGAACGGATGTGGTTTTGTGTGTCACCCCCCGCCCCCCACCCTTTCCCTTTCTCTCCCACATGATTGTGCGTTATGGCTCGCAAGCGCACATTCCGGCATACAGGCAACGCTCAGCCGGCATGTTTCTTGTTGGATGCTATTTCTGTATGAATGAGCATATACTGTACAGATATTTGGGGCATTTGCCAAACCTTGTTGCCATAGCAATAAACACTATTTAAGCCACAGAGAGGAAGAAAGAGGGACAGGGACATAAATAGGCCCGATTGTTTTTTTTTTTTTTTCTTGAATTAACTGTAAAATATCAAACAGTGTGATTCTGTATTCGATGAAAGGTCGTGCACATTTTGGTGACTTTAAGCTCCAGCAATCAGTTGTCATTCCCAAAAAGGAGAGAGAAGATAGGCCATTGATCATTGTTGTGTGCTGTGTTTGTACGCATTGCTGCTCCATGTTGGAGTTAACCCACAGTGGCAGTGTGAATGCGAGTGTGAAAGGTTGTCTGTCTGACGACCAGTCCAGGTTGTCGTCTACCTGGGATCGGCTCCAGCTTCCTGCAGCCTTGTAACAGGGCAAGCCGTACTGTGAATGGATGGACGGATCGATGCTAATTTGGGCTAGCCTGTCTCTGGCGTCTCACATTATATGTTAGCATGAAGCTATCAGACATTTGTTAGATCCTATAATTAGATGATTTGAGAGAGCATTTTGGTGTTTAAATATACGTTTTCTCCTCTTTTGTTTTATGTGTCAGTTTTACAGTCAACTTCAACTGGGGGTGACAAACAACTTGAAGCAAGCTCACCGTGTATCTTTTTGGAGAACAGTGCATGCCAGCGAGTTAGAACAGGTGCTTTATTAATTTTAAATGTGTTTAAAGTATTTTGCAGGGACAAAACGATATATATGAATGTATTATATGGTAGCTAGAGTGTATTACAAAGTTTTGGCAAGTGCCAGTGGATCTGGAATGTATCCCCCGTGATTTAAACAGGGGCCTGAATAAAATGTACTGACAAATATATGACATTTTTTTAACGCCACCCCTCGGAAATACCCCCCCCCCCTTTCCAAGCGATGGAGGTACCTTACATCTCAAAAGTGTAAGAGGATGAGACAATGACAAACGGACAAAAGGTGAACTTCCAGCCCTCTGTGACACTCCTTTATCAACCAGCGCGTCAGGCAAAGACAAGAGGATTGTCGTGGGGGTGGGAGCGGGGCAGGGGTTATATAATACTCCATGATGCAGGATACAGCTCGTATTCGGGAGATGGGGATGGGGGGGGGGGGCGGGCCCGGGGGGGGGGGGGAA